TCTATCATTTTCTCTCTCTCTTCGTCTCTCTCTCTCTCTGTCTCTCTGTCTCATTCTGTCTATCTTACACTCTGCCTGACACTTAAAGCCGCTTCGCATTCAATTGGCATTTTGCTGTCGCCATCATCAGCCTCTGAACTCTGAGCGCCCCTCTCTGGCCACGCCCCCGCCGCATGCGATCCACCTTCATGTTGAGTTTCACGTTATTTAAGGATTATCATCATTTTATGCTGCCTCGCAATGCCTTTTTTTGCAGGATTAAATGCTGAATGTCTGACAGCCTTTACCTCTCTCCTTCTCTCTCTTTCCCTCTCTCCCTCTTCCTCCCGCACCCTCTCTCACTCTTTTTATCGCTCTTTTTGAATTGATTGCATTGCACTTTTTTGCGCCGTTGTTGTTGTTGCTGTTGCATAGTTTGCGCTGCTGCCGCCACGCCTTCATGCAGCTGCCGCCCCCACTCTGCGCCCTTTAGTCCCGACTACAAAGTGATTTTTATGGCTTTTCGCTGCAAGCGAATGCATGTGTGTGTGTGTGTGTATGCAAATGTTTGACTACATGCATGCACGAGTGTATGTGTGTGTGTGTGTGTGTGTGTGCACTTTGATGTCTCCGCATTATACAAAAAAAAGGCGGCACTTTAATGCTGTCCATATATCACGAGCGCAAAGCTTGACAGCGACGTCAGCTCATAGAAAGCTTTAACACGCATACGCCCCGTGGGGCGCTGCATACATGTAGTTGGAGAGATAGACAGAGTGGGAGAGAGAGAGAGAGAGGTGGAGAGGTTGGGCAGACGGCGACAGTGGCTAGATGCTGTGCTGCTTATCGTACAAGTGCTTGGCTTAACCTTTCACTGGCCTCTTATCCTTTGGGCCATCTGCCTGCAAGCCGCACACAAATAACTTCATCTCGGGCCCAAAACCAAATTGATTAACAGTAGCCCCGCGCAGTTGCAGCGCCGCTCTCTCTCTCTCTCACTCTCTGTCTCGTTGGGCTGTCAACGCTTCCCGGAATGCCTTCCATTTACATGCCATAATTTTTAAATGTCAACGGTTTACAAAAGCGCTGACCATTTGATTTTGACCGCAACAGCAGCAGCAGCAGCAGCAGCCGCCGTTGCCGTTGCCGTTGCCGTTGCCCTACTCACTCCATTCCACACACACTCCCTCCCTCCCGCTCTTTCCACTGTCTGTTGCTGAAAACAGGTTGATATCTACCTGTGCCGCAATCGAACCCTAAATATACTCATATCCCTTTTTATACACACATTTCTCTCTTAGACCATATTATATTTATTTGACTCTTTATTGAGCTGCAACCTGTCGCTGCTTGGGTTTTGTGGGCCCTTCTTGGCAGATTTATGGTTGACCCAGAATGTGGTCCGTCGACTCCAACTTGATCGCCCTGGCAAGATACGATAACGTAACCTTTAACGAAATTTCAGGGTAATTTGTTGAAGAAGAAGAACAAAACTGTTGGTGGCATATATGGATTCTCTATATATACTATATCTAATATATTGTCTTTGACTTTTGATCTCTTCTCTTTTGTGGCTCAATCGCGCGTGTTATGAAGACGTCAAGGATCCTTATCGTATCATCTATCGCGCATATCGGCCATATATTGTCTTCAGTTCGTGTCTGTTCAGAAATTCCCCTGCATTTTCTTACCCTAGCCCACTACAATGTTTGCATACGCCTATCCACCTTTATCTCTTTGTTTTGTTGTATTTTTTTTGTTTCTATTTGCCTGACCTGTTTTCATATGCTCAATGCTAACATGTGCCCCCACAGTGGACTTCATAAATGGCCGAGCCGCTCATAACCTTGAGCGACGTCCAATGCGTTTTCATAAGCAATAAATCATATGGGCAATTGTCCTGTTTACTCAGCCGTAATTTATGGGCTATGCCATAAGTATGCCCCATTACAGTGTCTGGTACTTGCGGTTAAGCAGCTTGTAGGTCCTTTAAGGGTTGCTGATGGCTTGATACTTATTTACTTAGCTCCAATTGCCAGGGGTAAAACCCGTTTGCAGATGACTCCGCTTGCTGTCAAAATTTAGTTTATTAAATTAAGTTTTTAGAGTAGAAAGAGTTTTGCATATGTAGAATATAATAATATTATAAATATAAAATTGAATGGGGTAGTCTGAAAAATAGATTTAAATATAAATATGGCATATTTATATATCTATCAAAAATAATATATATATATATCATTTCCTCGAAGTCCTCGAAGCCCTTCTAGACATCATCTTAGAATCTCGTGTTCAGCTCTTCGTTCAATGCAGTCCTTAGCTCCCGAACCGTAGTCGTATTATCTTCCCTTAATGCGATCCATTATTATTTTGGGCATAAGAAAAACTTGCTGGGCTACAGATCTGATATAAATGGTGTCAGGCTCTTAGCCAACATCTTTATAGTAACTCCTTGATAGAATTTTGGAATAAGCACAAATTGCAATGAGTTAAAATAGAACCAGGAATATTATCTATCCAAAAGTAATTCAGCATGCACATTGACTTAACAGTGTAAAAGCAGAATAAAATAAAAATTCAGTTATAAGTTTGCCCATACTTTCGAGCCCACCTCGCTAAGTCTTAGCTAATTGAAATCATTTCTCATTGTTTTGTTTTTTTTTTTTTTGCCTTATACATTATGTATATATATATTTGTAATAACTCTCTAGTGTATATATAAATTAAAATAAATAAATACATTTTATTTATTTTGGTTTTTTCCTTTTTTTTTGTTTTTTGTATCATCATAATTATCAATATCGTAATTCTCGTCGGTAAAAACTCCGTCTTTGTCTTTATCTCATTTTTATCAATATTACGAGTACTTTGCGTGCTGTTTGTTCGAGTTGTTCTTGTTGTTGTTGTATAATTATAATTACGATGCGTTTTATCATTAGATTAATCATGATGTAATAATAATATTGTATAACATATTACCCCTCAAGGGTTTTATTTTTTGGTTTTGGTTTTTCTTTTGTTTTTTATTTCCCATATTCTATGCCTAATCTTGTTACTGGTTATCCTTGCGCTCTCTCGCCCTATTCCACTCCCACTCTAACCTCGCTCTCTCTCGCTCTTTTCCACTCTTAACGACAACCTCAACTTTACTCTCAACATTATTTTTTTTTTATTTTGTATAACAAACAGAGCAGTTAACAAAGAATTGCACAACAGGAGCAAATTGTTCGATATTTGTTCTGGTTCTAATCTGTAGACCAACCTGCGAATACTCATCCAACTCTAGCTAAACTCTAACCGACTGTCTAACTACCTGGTTACGGGACTAGCCAACAAAGCGTTTTCTCTTTTGTATGTGTATGTTCTGAGTGTGTGTGTGTGTGTGTGGTACAATACGTTTTAGCCCCCCAAATACTCGTTCAGCAAGTGTAACGGGGAGTATATTGGTTTTACTTGCCTTCTTTACTTGAGCAGTTATTTTTTCACTAACTTATTTGGTACGTTTTGCGTTTATAATATCTCGTATTGCCTTTATATAGGTATATATGTATATGTATATATATATATCTATATCTATTACTATGTATAATCAATGGTTATGAAAGCATTTAAATCTGTTTAGCGCACTTTCTGAAAGCTATTCTTAATTCTGTGTGGTTTATTAGGTGTCTGCGTGTGAGTTTCATAAGAATTGCAATGCATGATTCGAAGGTGAAAAGAAATCGTCTCTGATAAATGGCCATATGCTGGAAGTACTCTATATGGTAGAGGCTAATGTTCTAAAGTATTTCCAGCAAAGTTCTGGAAACTCCTTTAGTTCATAGTCCTAAGCTACTTATATGCTAAGAGTTTAGTCGCATTTAGGTTTTGGTTTTTATTTTGTTGTTGTTGTAAATTATTGTTATGTACATTTAGACATGTAGTTTTTCTCTCAGTGTTCTTTTCGAGTTGTCCAATACAAAATTATCGAGCTGCGGTTTCGTTGTACAAAAATAATCAAAAAAAAAAAAAAAAAAAAAAATATATATATATATATAGATGAAACAAATTTAAAGCAAATTCAACAAAATGCCAAACACAACGTGAACAAAATCAAATTTTCTTTTGTTTTTCCTTTTTATTTAGTTTTTCTGGTTTTTTATTTTTCAGTTACCTATATGTATTATATATTAATTGGTAATTTATACGCTAAGCTAATTATTTTGTTTAACAATAAGTGTATAGCTGCTTGGCTCTTACGTACCGCAAATTTTCTTTCTCATTTCTCAATTTGGGTTTCTTAATTTGTCTCTATACGTATTTAATTTTAATTCAATGTTTTTGTTTTTTTTCTATTTTTTTTATTCTTTCACTTATGCTTAATTAACGAAAAAATTAAACTTTTATTTGCAGCTTCTTTGCCATAAGGAACAGAAATGATAATCAAAAAATAATAATAATAAGGAAAATTTCCAAAATTTAAATAAAAATGTTTCACAAAAAAGTATATCATCAGATTAGTTGTAGTAGTTATATATATATATATATATATATATATATATATATATATATATATATATAT